ATCCAAAAATTTCAAACCGAAATAATCAGTATCAGAACAAGGTACCGATGGGACTAAGAAAAGAAGGTCCTTTAACTAAAAGTCCAATGAATCGGGTTTTTTATTTTACAAATTGGGCATATTTAACTGTAACTAGGCTTAAAAATATCATTCATTACAATCTATTAGTGAGAGAAGTTCCATCAAAGATAGCACACAACGTGAGTGGAAAGGTGAGGAGAACAGAACAACACCATCTTTTATCAGTGATTACTACTAGTACATGAATAAGGAGGACAAAACTTGTCTCTTAGCCATAAATACAAATTGTTGATTTTATAGTTCAAAAAGGAAACTGCTGGGTGATCTTGCAGACCTTGGTTTTGTCCTGGAGGGGTACTCCCCTATAAAAGTGACGGGGGTGCTCGTCGTACCTTTTAGGGGTTTAAATTTGTGGATTGGTACCGCTTAGGGTGCTAAAACATAAAATGCCTGGTGCCAGAGTTGATACGCTTTATTAGGATAAAGATTTATGAAAGTCCCTCAAAGTGTTAGAAAGTTATCCTTATTACTATTAAATTTTGCAGTGCCAGAATTTGTTGTTGTAGAATTGGTACCTCTTAGGGGCGGAAATGAATTTGGGACACGCCCATAAAACAAGATTCTGGTACCTTAGTGGTGTTCTCGAAATTTTCTGACGAGCACCCGCGTCACTTTTACAAGGGAGTACCCTTTTGGGGGGTTTGCATTGTACTCTTGACCTCTGCCGGTAATTAATTTGACTTGTGTTTCTGAAACTCACTTTCCGCAGCGCTTCCACGGCAACGTTTCTTTATTCTCCGAAGTAAAAGCCATCCTTTTTCAAATAAAACTGCAATTGTTGGATTGGCGAGAGGTGCGAATGTTTTAAGTCGCGGCGTTTGACATAACACAACACCTGATCTGATATCTGAACACAACATGCAACAAGACCAACAACAATGATCAGCTGTAGGTGTAAATGCTCAAGTCACTGGGCGAGCGTTCAAAATCGGCGTTCCTAATACCGTTTCACGATTCGAAGAGTAAAGTTGACGCCACATAAATATCTACCTTCTGCAATGTTCCTCCTTTGATAGATTCTCACTCTGACTATTTGGAACTTATACAACACGCCTTCCCGTAACTTCATGTCATCACCTTACGTGTACTCAATCGCGTTTGCAAACATGCGATAGCGTTCATAAAGCTGACTGGTTTCTGGTCCTGTAATCCCGGTCCAAACCAATCTTCCACATTGCTTGTGTGTTTCCTTTAAAATGACACCTAGTAACTCTGTAAATTTTCCATTGTTGATTTCCACCATGTCCAGGTAAGAATCCGTTTGGTCGATGTAATGTGTTCCTACATAATAACCTTTGAATTTTTTGCCCTGTACCTGCTTGAAGTTTTCCTTCACTTCGCTGACACAGGGAAGTATTGCAGTATTATCGTCTCTCTGTCGCTTGAACGAGCAAATAACACCGGGAAATAACAGCTGTTGGCAAACGACAGGATACGATCAGCACGAGCTAACGCCACAGGGAAACCATCCAGACCATCCTGATGATGTCACCCGCGAAATGTGGTCTCATCGCGGCTATGCGGGGCTGATTAAAAAAAAACTTGGTCGTTATTCATTCCGCCTTTTCTCTTAAAATCCGTCTAGTTCTTTATATCTCAGCCAGCGCGATTGCAAACCACGACATTATGTTACAAAAAGGGATGGGACAAGACGAGAAAAGACGGAGTTCGGACTCTTTTGTAGAAAACAAACCCTCAGTCAGCCCAGAAACGGAGTAACCAATTGGTCAATTTTACAGCTGTTGACAGATCATTGACTGGTCTGTAGGTACGGAAGCAAGGGGATCTAGCCTCCCGGGTCTAGCCTACGTAGCAAGCGTTTCCAGTCGAGTTATAGTTATAGTTTTTTTTGCTCTCGTCCCAACTTTCTCAACGAACTCGCGCGTAAACGATTGCTACCCAGGCTAATGGGGGTCAGTTGTCGCTCCATTCCAGGGGGACTTCTGGTATTACAAAATGGATGAATGGGGATTCTTAATTGAAATCCACCCTGAGGACGGATTTCTCGGAGGTGAAATCCGTTTTCGGATTTCGCGTTCGATTGGGAAATCCGGATTTAGATTTTGAAAATCTAAATCTGGATTTCCCAATCGAACGCACCCCTAGTAACTCTGTAAATTTTCCATTGTTGATTTCCACTATGTCCAGGTAAGAATCAGTTTGGTCGATGTAATGTGTTCCCACAAAATAACCTTTGAATTTCTTGCCCTGTACCTGCTTGAAGTTTTCCTTCACTTCGCTGACACAGGGAAGTAACGCCATTATTCCAGTTCGCAGTATTATCGTCTCTCTGTCGCTTGAACGAGCAAATAAAAGCTGTTGGCAAAGGACAGGATACGACCAGAACGAGCTAACGCCACAGGGGAACCATCCAGACCATCCTGATGATGTCACCCGCGATGTCTCATCGCGGCTATGTGGGGCTGATTAAAAAAAACTCGGTCGTTATTCAGTCCTCTTTTTCTCTTAAAATCCGTCTAGTTCTTATCTCAGCCAGCGCGATTGCAAACCACGACATTATGTGACAATAAGGGATGGGACAAGACGAGAAAAGACGGAGTTCGGACTCTTTTGTAGAAAACAAACCCTCCGTCGGCCCAGAAACGGAGTAACCAATTGGTCAATTTTGCAGCTGTTGACAGATCATCGACTGGTCTGTGGACGGAAGCCGATAGGGGTCTAGCCTCCCGGGTCTAGCCTGCGTAGCAAGCGTTTCCAGTCGAGTTATAGTTATAGTTTTTTTTGCTCTCGTCCCAACTTTCTCAACGAACTCGCGCGTAAACGATTGCTAGCCAGGCTAATGGGGGTCAGTTGTCGCTCCATTCCAGGGGGACTTCTGGTATTACAAAATGGATGAATGGGGGTGGGGGGCGTGCGAATCACCAAGATGTAGCTGCCCTTCGAGCAGAGTCTGCCTCGATCTTCCTACTAGAAAGATCGAAGGAGACTCTGCTCGCAGGGTAAGATGTAGCCTGCGTAGCAAGCGTTTCCGCGCGAGTTCCAACCTCGTCCCAGGGCGCTTTGTTACGTACATGAATAATGTTGTATTGGTAGAATATTGTATTGAATATTGTTCATTTCAATTGAACAACAAGCTGGTGTTGGGTTTTCAAGAAAATCAATCCTGTTTGCACATTACATTAAAAAACTATTAATTCATGTATATTGCACGTGACATGCTTAAAGCATAAATAAATGGGTGGGGGATGGCTGTGAGGGGAGCGTCGAGCCATTATCAGGACTAATTTATGAAATTGTTAATTAAATTGGTCAGCGAAATTGTATATTTGTCAGAAAAAAGTCAGGGAAAATTCAGGGAATTTAAAAAACCTCTGGCTGTGGCAACCATGCACTATGCAATGCATATGCGGCGCAAAAGTGGTAACGAAAAGAGGAATTGTCAAACCCAAGGCTACAGCGTTTACATGTTACATGTGCAGTAGCCTGCATAACAGGCACCTGAATAGCCTAACCCTTTCAACGCCTGCCACGGAGGCTAAGACCTGAATGTAATATAAGCGAAAGAAAGGGCGGGGCGTTTGAGACAGCTACCTCTCCCCTCATACGTCCCATCCTTTCTTGCGCCCATATTTCTTTAAAGCTACAGGTTTTCTCCATATAAATGGGGCCTAAAGTACATTGGGCATACACTGCCTTTTTGCAAAGGTGGGGAGGGGGAACCCGAAAGGACAGTCCAACTTTCCTAAAATTAGTCAATCACACAGCAATAATATTATTCAAAAGGCGTATACATATATAACTTCTTTTTTAATGATTTTCTTCCATAGAATTCTTATCAACTTTGAAATTAAGGGGAACTGCAAATTCCCCCATTCCACTCAAAGTTATTTCAAATGGCTTTTATTGAAATACTATTTCAATAAAGGCCATGAAAGCAAACAGAGGATAATAATAGTTTATATTTATATTAACACCAATGAAATACCAGGTGAGCGTTTGCACAAAAACATGATATCTTCACATGTGAAAATAACATGTTATCTTCACACATGAAATATCACCATTGCTATGGCAATAATAAATTGTGCCTATTACAGCAAAAACCTATTAAAGTGAAATGGTTTGGTATTTCATTGGTGTTTATATAATAAACATTACATGGCCTCTTGGAGATATGAAATTTGTCTTCTCATGTTGAAAAATATTTCACTCATTCACTGCACTCACTAAATATTTTTCAACACTCAAAGATAAATTTTGTATCTCCGCACAGCCATGTAATATCCTCTACATATTGATCCAGATAGGAATGGATTGTGTCACGACCACGCTCCATAAGGATAAATTAAAAGCACTGAAGCAAAGGGTTAAGAAGAGAGCTTGTACACTGAAACTTCAAAGGGGCTGTGTCACGGTTGTCTGGTTCATTTTGTCAATAATCCCAATTTGCCTAGTCCCTAGGCCTCATTATTGTGTGCGGCCAATGTGTTTCGGATCACATGGTCCGAGGTCTCGGATACATCACTGAAATGCAACAAGAAGGCCTGGGAAGATGCCTTACAGGGACTAGGCAAATTAAATCCCAATGACGCGTCCTTATCTGCTATGGAACTTGCAAAATTACTTGTGTATGATATTAAAAGAATACTGCCTCATGTGAAACAAATGTCTCCAAATCAGTGTATGAAACTTTGCAAACAACAAAAATGAAGTTTGAAAAACTGTTAGGTTAAAAAGTTTTCAAAAACCATAATTTCAATCCATTCCAATCTCCTTCAAGTTTGTCCATCCATACCTCCTTTGCTGCATTATATGGGTATTTTACCTTCTTTTCATTTTTGAGCAGTTGATTTGTAAGTTTCACTCAGTTTGTTGGCGGTTCCCACTGTTTGAATTTTGTTAAATTTTGCAACATAGCTCCTTTGGTCCTGTTCTTCATCTCTTCTGGGTGTTTAGAA